TTGGGCTGAGAGACAAGGACTGGTCCAAGGTCACCCAGCTGGAAGAAGGAGGGAGCCCCGTACCAAACTTCGCTCGGACTGACCGTTATGAAAGTCCCGCCTGAACCTGGTTGGTCATACTGGGGTGGGCAGTGAGAGATAGTTAAGAGAGGGAAAAGTAGAACTCAGAGGTTTTCCCACTTCTGGCTTTGCAATACAGATAGTCCTCGGCTTACAGCCATCTGTTTAGTGACCGTTCAAAGTTACAACGGCACTGAAAAAAAGTGACTTATGACCTTTTCTTCACACTTATGGCCGTTGCAGCATCCCCACGGTCATATGATCAAATTTCAGACGCTCGGCCACTGGCTCGTATTTATGACGGTTGCAGCGTCCTGGGGTCATGTGATTCCTCTTTTTGCAACCTTCCGACAAGCAAAGTTCAATAGGGGAAGCCAGATTCCCTTAACAACCAGGTTACTAATTTAACTATTGCAGTGTTTCACTTAACACCTGTGGCAAGGAAGGTCGTAAAATGGGGCAAAATTCACTGAACAACTGTCTCCCTTACCAACGATACAATAGAATAGAATAGAATAGAATAGAATAGAATAGAATAGAATAGAATAGAATAATGGAATGAAGTAGAAGAATAGAGTAGAGTAGAGTAGAGTAGAGTAGAATAGGAATAGAGTAGAGTAGAGTAGAGTAGAGTAGAGTAGAGTAGAGTAGAGTAGAGTAGAGTAGAATAGAATAGAATAGAATAGAGCTGGAAGGGACCTTGGAGGTCTTCTAGTCCAACCCCCTGCTCGAGCAGGAGAACCTATACCAAACGATCCTTGGCTCCATTTGTTGAGAAAGATATAGTTTATTAGAGATCCACTGTACAGGTGGTCCTCGACTTACGACCACAACTGAGCCCAATTGTGGTCCTACGTTGAGGACAACCTGTACAGTTGGTCTCTAATAATATCTCCCTGAACAAATGGAGATCGTTTCTATTCCGAGGTTAAAGGGGTGGCAGGTCCCACAGACAGTGCTGGTGAAAGGGCTCTCAGCCAACGACCCACAATGACAACAGACCACAAGTGTTGGTTCCACCGCGGTTACCTACTTTTCTCCAAGCGGATGTGCTGACCGTCGCTCTCATTCCGTGTTTGAAGAAGCTCATTCAGGGCTTCACAGACGTAGATCCCAGCTTGGCTCTCAGTGAAGTTTTCGATGATTAATTTGGGCCCGCGATCCATCACGGTACCATCACGGTACCAAGTGTACTGAGGCCCGGGATACGAAGCAGCCAGACAGTTGAGGATGATGGTTTGGTATTCTTTATTACAGGCATTGTTTGGATGGATGACAGGCACCTCTGGACCATCTAGGGACGAAGACGCAATGCAGAAAAGTTTGGATTTGAACGGAACAATTCAGGTCGAATCCTTCCCCCCGTTCACCCACAAGAGCAAGCAGGCTCTTGATTGTCCCCAAGGTGCTTTTTCAATTTGCAACTGGACTGCCTCGGTTTTTCCTTTGACGACGTTTCGCTTCTCATCCAAAAAGCGTCTTCAGGTTCTGGCTGAACGACTCTTAGAAAGAGCGCCAATGACCAGATGACTGCAAAGGATATAAATCCTTCCATTCTCCACCATTCAGTCAGAACAGAAGAAGCTTCCTGGATGAGAAGCAGAACGTCTTCAAGAAAAAACAAAGAAAGTCCAGTTGCAAATTGAAAAAGCACCTTTGGGACAACCATGACCTGGATGACTGAGCATCTCCATATGTACTGGACCAGCCAGTTAGCTGAGCACTGTATGCTAGAATGTTTGGCATTTAAAGGGTTAAGCGCTGTCTCCTTAAGAGATGGCTTATGGGTAATGTAGTTTAGCTGTTCAGTGAATCCTATAATTATCCAATTAAGTGGGAGGAGTTTCAAAGTTATTGCAGGATGTATCTGAGTAAAGGAATGCTTTTGTGTGAAACCAACATGGGACGCATGCAGGGATATTGTCTACAACCACGCTAAAGCTGATATGAAGGAATTACTGTTTTTACCTATGTAAAATGGACAAATGTACACATCCGGATGTACCTTCAGAAAGTTAAGTTCTGCTAAGAATTCCTGGAATAAATATTTGTTTTAAAACCATTTTTCGTTGAGTTGACTCTGCCTGGACTTGAATTACAAAGCATCTTAGTTCAGGTTCCAGAACACCATAGATAACAGGATCTTAATTGTGAAGCCTCCACACCTTGAGGACTCCAGATCTTTAAGGACCCAAATGGGCCTCTGAATTGGGCTGCCTCATCAATGAAATCCCTTATGGGCAAGGTAGTATCAACCATCCCATCCCCGTCATGAATTTAGCTGCTCTGTTTCAACCAAAATGCAGAGAACGGACTAGTTGGGGAACTGTAGCTAACTCCTCATTGGGACCAGCCCTGCTGGTGGTAGGGACTGGCTACTAGGCAGGGCTGTCTCGCTTTCTGGAAAAGGGATGGGCTCCATTTGGTCATGGAGTTCTGTCGGATGGCCCTGCCCTGTTCCTCACCTTCTCCAGCTGGTCTTTCTTCCGAGAGGCTGGGTGTTGCCTATCTTCTCACTACATTTACCAACATCATAAATTCTCTCCTTTCTGACCTTCTGAGGCTGTTTAGCCCCTCTGGGGATGTCCTTTCCCCCAGTTAAGGTTCAAGCCCTTTTTGAATCAAGGCGGGACTAAATTACTCAGATGCAATAAGGGAACAAACCCTCTTTGAGGGACATAAAGCCTTGATGAGAAATAAATATTCTTCAGAGCTCACCACACATCCATAATCTTTTTCTTTCTTTCTTTCTTTCTTTCTTTCTTTCTTTCTTTCTTTCTTTCTTTCTTTATTTCTTTCTTTCTTTCTTTCTTTCTTTCTTTCTTTCTTTCTTTCTTTCTTCTTTCCTTCCTTCCTTCCTTCCTTCCTTCCTCCTTCCCTCCCTCCCTCCCTTCCTTCGTCCCTCCTTTCCTTTCCTTTTCTCCCTCTTGTTGTTCCTTCTCTCTCTCCCTCTCTTCCTCCCTCCCTTCCTCCCTTCCTTGCTTCTTTCCTCCCTCCCTCCCTCTTTCCTTCCTTCCTCCCTCCCTCCTTCCCTCCTTCCCTCCTTTCCTTTCCTTTTCTCCCTCTCGTCGTTCCTTCTCTCTCTCCCTCCCTTCTTTCCTCCCTCCCTTCTTTCCTCCCTCCCTCCCTCTTTCCTTCCTTCCTTCCTTCCTCCCTCCCCTCCTTCCCTCCTTTCCTTTCCTTTCCTTTGCTCCCTCTCGTCGTTCCTTCTCTCTCTCCCTCCCTCCCTTCCTTCCTTGCTTCTTTCCTCCCTCCCTCTTTCCTTCCTTCCTCCCTCCTTTCCTCCTTTCCTTTCCTTTCCTTTCCTTTTCTCCCTCTCATTGTTCCTTTTCTCTCTCTCTTTCTCTCTTTCTCTCTTTCTCTCTTTCTCTCTCTTTCTCTCTCTCTCTCTCTCTCTCTCTCTCTCTCTCTCTCTCTCTCTCTCTCTCTCTCTCTCTCTCTCTCTCTCTCTCTCTCTCTCTCTCTCTCTCTCTCTCTCTCTCTCTCTCTCTCTCTCTCTCTCTGTGTGTGTGTGTGTGTCTCCCTTGTCCCTCTCCTTTCTTTCTTGACCAGGCTGTTTTTGAAAGAATAGTGTTTATTCTCTCTTTTGTTTGTTTGTTTTAAATTTATTTTCGTCACGATAGCGGACATTGCACATGTCAGAAGAACTTTAAGATGTCCTCTACAGGCTTTGCCGTTTACAAAACAACAACAGTTCTATAGATGACATTTAAAAATGGGTTGGAGGCAATGGACGCCAAATACTCACAGATCACACTGAGGTGCGCAGGGTCACTCGTGACTGGAGTGTCACCATTGGGGACTTCACACTGGTACGCCCCGGTGTCCTCCTTGGCTGCAGAGGCAATGGAGAGGATCCGGTTGTGATCCGTCAAGTTGTACTCAGGGGGCAGAGGATGTCCGTCCTTCAACCAGCTAACGTTCTGAGTGATGGTTGTATTGCACCGTAGCTGAACGGCCTGCAATTCCACAATGAAAGGGGATGGCGAGATAACCACATTCGGCTTTGGCACAAACTCTGCAGACAGAAGAGAGAGGATTAGAGAGATAGAAACCAAGTGTGATAGGCACAACCTGAGGCCTTAGCCCAGGGGTCTTCAAACTTGGCCCTTTTATGACTCGTGGACTTCAACTCCCAGAATTCCTGAGCCAGCACGGCTCAGCTTGGAAACCTCTCCCTTTCTCCTCAGCATGGCTGGCTCAGGAATCCTGGGAGTTGAAGTCCACGAGCCATAAAAGAACCAAGGTTGCCTACCCCTGCCCAAATGCCTGAATTTTGATCACGTGACCATGAGGAAAAAACATTTAAATATTTAAACCAGGGGTCTTCAAACTTGGCCCTTTTATGACTCGTGGACTTCAACTCCCAGAATTCCTGAGCCAGCACGGCTCAGCTTGGAAACCTCTCCCCTTTCCCCTCAGCACGGCTGGCTCAGGAATTCTGGGAGTTGAAGTCCACGAGTCAAAAAAGAGCCAAGGTTGCCTACCCCTCCTTAGCTGGAACTGAGTTTAGACTTAAATTAAAGGCAAAGGTGTTTGAAGAGGCCGCTTAAAGAATTTCAGATTCTTTTTCATTCGTTACCATTTCATTATAATGTCCTATCAGGCCGTCTCTCTCAGTTAAGACGCCTCTATTGCTCACATCACAAGGCTTTCGCGGTTTGATTCACATGTGCTTTGTTTATTGATTTGTATCCCGCCATTATTATTTTTACAAATAACTCAAAGCAGCAAACATGTCCAACACATCTTCCTCCTCCTCTTTCTCCACAGCAACAACCCCGTGAGGTGAGGTGAGGTGAGGTGAGAGAGAAGGACTGGCCCAAGGTCACCCAGCTGGCCTTCATGGCGAAGGCGGAACTGGAACTCAGAGTCTTCCGCTTTCCAGCCTGGGTGCCTTAATCGCTTAAACTATCTGTGTGCATTGACACCTTCTTGTCAAAGAGCCCCCCTCAATACGCACACCCCATCACAAGGTGTTAAATGTGGCATATTACATTTATTTTCGTCCTAGTCGCACTCCTGACATATTGGAACATAGTTCTGGCATACAACTCCAGATGTTACCAAGGGCAGTTGATCTTTCTTTCTTTTCTTTCTTTCTTTCTTTCTTTCTTTCTTTCTTTCTTTCTTTCTTTCTTTCTTTCTTTCTTTCTTTCTTTCTTTCTTTCTTTCTTTCTTTCTCCCTCCCTCCCTCCCTCCCTCCCTCCCTCTTTCTTTCCTTCCTTCCTTCCTTCCTTCCTTCCTTCCTTCCTTCCTTCCTTCCTTCCTTCTTTCTTTCTTTCTCCCTCCCTCCCTCCCTCCCTTCCTCTTTCTTTCTTTCTTCCTTTCTTTCTTTCTTTCTTTCTTTCTTTCTTTCTCTCTCCCTTTCTCTCCCTCTTTCTTTCTTTCTTTCTTTCTTTCTTCCTTTCTCTCTCTCTCTTTCTCCTCCTTTCCTTTCCTACTTTCCTTCCTTCCTTCCTTCTTTTTTCTTTTTTCTTTTTTTTCTCTTTCTGTCTTTCTCCCTCCCTCCCTTTCTTTCTTTCTTTCTTTCTTTCTTTCTTTCTTTTTTTCTTTCTTTCTCTCTCTCCCTTTCTTTCTCTCCCTCTTTCTTTCTTTCTTTCTTTCTCTCTCTCTCTCTCTCTCCCTCTTTCTTTTCTTCTTTCCTTTCCTACTTTCCTTCTTTCCCTTCCTTCCTTCCTTCCTTCCTTCCTTCCTTCCTTCCTTCCTTCCTTCCTTCCTTCCTTCCTTTCTTTCTTTCTTTCTTTTTTTCTTTTTCTTCCTTTAGATTCATAGAACCACCCAACTCACACAAGGTGACTCCAGGCAGTGCACAGCATTAGAAATCAACCACCACAAACACCCCACCCCACGAGATGGGACAGCTCGCCACAGTCAACTCGGCACAGCCAACTGACCACGGGACAATTCGCTGTAGGTAGGACAATCCACCAATTCAATTTATTTATTTAAAATTATTTTTAAAAAACTATTTTAATGTTGGTCACTCACTTTCCATGTTGGCATCCTTCCTCTAATGATTCTATTCCATTATTTCTTCACTATTAATGTAACTCTTGTCCTGTGGCCAGTTGGCTACGGTGAGTTGTCGTAGACCGCCACACACCCCACCCTAGGGCAACCACAACCATAATCATGTAAGCCACTTGATTGGCTCTCCAAACTCGGGGTCCCCCAGCCCGCTGACAGAAACCATGTCTTCAGAACCTTAAGGAAAAATCATAAGGTAGGGAGGCACTCATTCATGGAGGACTTTATGGATGGAGATGTATGCACGGCTAGAGCAGAAATCCTCATTTTCAGCTCAGTAACTTGAGCCGGTGCCTTCACACGCGTGAGGGTATGGGGACTCTGAATTCTGGCCAGCCTATCCCAATTTTTTTTAAAAAAAGTCTTACTTGTGACTTCTAATCTTATATTCCCATTAGAAATTGTAGCTCCTGCTATGGTTAGCAAGTAGTTTGCAGTGTCATTTAATTGTAGCTCCTTAATATGAAGGGAGCAGTCGGGGTAGATCGTTTCTCTCCCAGTATATCCTGGTCCGGTCTTGTTTACACTTTGAACCACTAGCAGCGGATCGGCCCCCGTTGACTGACGGTACCAGGTGCAAAAGATAGTAGTCTCTGGGGGAGTTGGTGGCTTCAGCAGGACCTCAAACGTCTCCACTGGATTTGGAGGAATTGCCTCAATAACAATGGTTTCACCAGTTTGAGCCACGAGGACGCTACTATGGAGGATGGCCCCTGCAGGTTGAAAGGAGAAAGAGAGACAAAGGGAGGGAGGGAAACGATAGAGTCTAAGTAAGATACATTTCATCAAGCAAAAGACCCCCTCCTAGAATTTGTCTGCAGAAAACGTTTCTGGAAAATGCTTTTCCACGCTCAAATCACACGGGGTGCCAATTCCTCTCCCAATAAAGCCAGACTTGCTATCCTGCAGGAGAAATTAGAAAACACCACCAACCTTTTTTTTTTTAAAAGAAAAAGCAACGTGGTTAAAAATTGAAAGGAATTTAAGACACACCCCAGCATCTGGTGACCCCCATAATTTGTTTAACGATGGTTAAACCACTGGGGTTGGGTTCACATGACATGTGAACTCCCAAATCAAGCAGGCTACGCTTAGCAAAGCAGGTTAATTGCACCAGAGGACCTTATAATGGCTAAATATTCATAATGGAAAACATTGATTGTCCGATGTTTCCTGCCTGAGCAGGGGGCTGGACTAGATGACTTCCAAGGTCCCTTCCAACTTTATCATGATGATGATGATGATGATGATGATGATGATGATGATGATGATGATGATGATGATGATGATGATGATGGAAAAGTGCCCCTTTGGGACTTCCATGGAAATGTAAGCACAACCCAGGCACGTACTATCACATTTGGTGGACATGTGGCAAAGCTAAGGCTTATTGGAAAAAGATACATACGTGGTAAGACAAAATATTAGATGAACATGTTGATTTTAAACCTGAACTTTTCTTACTAGGTATAATGCCTGAAAAGCTTAATAAGCAAAGTCTATATTTGATTTTACACATCACTACAGCAGCGAGAATAATCTTTGCGCAATATTGGAAGAACGAAGGACTGTCCTCAGAGGAAGAAATAATCAGAAAAATATTGGAATGCGCAGAGAGGGACAGATTAACTACGAGATTGAAAGATAAAGAAGACACAGATTACTGCCAAACTTGGGACTTATTTTATCGTTGGTTAGAGGAAAGAATGGAGGATTAGGAATCAAATATGTATTAGCATAGCTAACCCCAGACAGCTCGTTGGTTGGAAAATTAACATATGCATGTAAAAGAAAATCAATACAATCTCTATTTTAAAAAAAGGGGAAATTGCACCTTTGGGACTTCCATGGATTTTGAGACTTCTTAAGCGAGTTAACCGAAATTCAATCACTAGTATAAAGTTCTGTTTTGTAAAATAAGAGCGGCATGGGTGTCAAGCAGTAGAATCATCCAACAGAATCCAGGTAGATATATCAGGATTTCTAATGAGGACTTGATCCTTCACCCAAGATCACATTCAACCTTTTTAGACTCTGCTATTCAGAGTTCTCATCCATACCTGCCCAAAACACCATCCACCAGGAGCTTCTCCATCCAAGGTTACTGCGTCCACCATCCATCAGGCAAGGTGACTTCCTCCGTGCTGGGGGACTAGTAAATCTTCCTGTTCTTTTGTTCAGAACTAAACCTGGTACTACCAGGAATATTCCTGCTTTTATATATCAGGAACCGGTGTATGGTCACCTCTATGTCACTCAACCTTCTCCAAATTAACCCACCCCTATCTGCCCTTCCCAAACAGGTGTGGCAAAGATTCACAAGTTGTAATGGAAAAATAAGGAATGCACATACAGTAAGTTTAAAATTAGTACATATTTTTTATTTGCTAAAAGAACATGAGTCACTGTAGTTCAGGCGAAAACCTCATTAGATGTTCACAGCAAGGTTTACTAGTTACAAAGGGCTCCAATTTATGTGTTTGTGGTACCTTTCGCACATATAATTTAGCCCCAACTCTAAAGAGATGCAAGGACAAAGACAAGAAGAAGTTGTATACCCGGGCTGGTAATAAAATATTTAATTTGAAGTTATATACCGAACATTCCCACCCAGCCATTGTCATTGTTGAAAGATGTCAAGAACATTACATGAAAAGAAAGAATAAAATCCAGCCAAAAAAATTAATATTGCATCTACAAAGAAGGTTCCAGGGTTTGCTGCTTCCAAGATGGTAGTATATTAAAAACTCACTGAACAACAGAATGTCTCACTGAACAACAGAAACTTTGGGCTCAGTGGTGGTTGTAAGTTGAGGACTACCTGTGTTAGACATCCATTCTCCAAAATCCCAAGAAATTAGCTGATTTCAATTTCATTTCACGTGAAGTATTAATACCACTTTACAATGCCTTGGTAAGGCCACACTTGGAATACTGCATCCAGTTTTTGTCACCACGATGTAAAAAAGATGTTGAGACTCTGGAAAGAGTACAGAGAAGAGCAAAAAGATGATTAGGGGACTGGAGGCTAAAACATATAAGGAACGGTTGCTGGAATTGGATATGTCTAGTTTAATGAAGAGAAGGATGAGGGGGGACATGATAGCAGTGTTCCAATATCTCAGGGGCTGCCCCAAAGAAGAGGGAGTCAAGCTATTCTCCAAAGCGCCTGAAGGCAGGACAAGAAGCAACGGATGGAAACTAATCAAGGAGAGAAGCAACCTAGAACTAAGGAGAAACTTCCTGACAGTGAGAACAATTAACCAGTGGAACAACCTGCCTCCAGAAGTGGTAGGTGCTCCAACAATGGAAGTTTTTAAGAAGAGACTGGACAACCATTTGTCCGAAATGGTATAGGGTTTCCTGCCTCAGCAGGAGGTTTGACTAGATGACCTCCGAGGTCCCTTCCAACTTTATCATCATCATCATGATGATGATGATGATGATGATGATGATGATGATGATGATGATGATGATGATGATCAATGTGGACTGAAAAGGCTTCGGATCTTTCTTTTCCGCCTCTGAATACTTACTTTGAAATATTTGAAGATCAGTTCCATTCGTAGGCTTTTTCTCTTTTTCCTTCTAAGTTGGTGGATTTATTTATTTTTACAGGGGGGGAGTACATTGGTGTTTTCCCCCCGTTTTGCTTTCTTTCCTCATGTATTATAAGCAGTAACATCAATTATAAACAAAGGTCAGCCTGTTCCTGCTGTACGAACAAAAGACAAAAGGAACACATATCCCATGTTGTGATCAATAATATTGAAGCTTGTTGCGCCACAAGATTGTCATTTGTTTCTGTGGCACTGCTGGTTTGCATTTGCAAATTAACTTTTGTGTGTGTGTGTGTGTGTGTGTGTGTGTGTTTTAAGTTGGAACGGTAAGGAAACAGCGGGATTCATCCTCCAGCCTTGAGCAGAATTTGCTGGTTTGCTAAAAAAAAAGGGGGTGAGTAGGGTGCTGTTGAGCTCATATTTTATCGTGCTATACATTGTCGGTCCTCTGGGCCGCAAGGACTGCAAACATCAAAAAAGAAAAGAAAAGGAAGACGACAATCACAATGGATTAGCAATGCACCTGGCCAACAGGGGGCGCTTCAGTGGCACCACCATGGCTGCCATCTTGACTTTTCTGACCACGACCGATTCGTGCCCTGTGTATGTAGATGCATAGGTGTGTGTGTGTGTGGGGGGGGAGCTTTCTGAAAAGATTAATCCACCCAAAATTCCTTGTTCAGTGTTTCTCTTGAGTTAGCAGTTTTAAGATGGATGGGCTTTCCTTCCTAGTTTTCTGACTGGCTGGGGGATTCTGGGAGTTGAGGGTCCATAGCTCTTAAAGTGGTTGAGGTTTGAGAAGGGCAGAATTGGGCGGACTGTAAAATTGGTAATGTTGTTTCTACAATTTGGGATGGGAAACACAAAAACGTGGTTCTTTTTTCTCACGGTGTAAATATCAATGTTGGAAGGGACCTTGGAGGTCTTCTAGTCCAACCCCTTCTAGTCCAATCAAGGAGAGAAGCAACCTAGAACTAAGGAGAAACTTCCTGACAGTTAGAACAATTAACCAGTGGAACAACCTGCCTCCAGAAGCGGTGAACGCGCCAACACTGAACGTTTTTAAGAAGAGACTGGACAGCCATTTGCCTGAAATGGTATAGGGTTTCCTGCCTGAGCAGGGGGTTGGACTAGATGACCTCCAAGGTCCCTTCCAACTCTGTTATTCTATACCCAATTCCTGCAACTGTTCTTTGTATGTTTTAGCCTCCGGTCCCCTAATCACCTTTGTTGCTCTTCTCAAACACCTACTTTTTTGTTATTCGTTATCTGTTACCTGTGAAATTGCTCAGTGACTATAACACAGCAGCTTCCAATATTTGGAACATTCTGCCTACCCACCCACTACTCAGGAGATACAAATCGCCCTGTCTCTGCTTGCATTTTGCAAACAGCTGAAAACCCCCTTATTTGAATATGCTTTGGACCCTTAGTTGTTTCTTTGAACGTTGTTATTTTTTAAAGTTTATGGGGTTACTGTATTTTATGCTTCATTTCTATTGTCCCTCCACAGTCCATCAGGCTACGGCAGAATGTTAATTTTGGAAATAAATAAAGAATGGAATGTGAACACAACGCAATTTACTGCTGGGAGTGACAATCCGGCAGGATTTATTCTACAAAACACAGCTCCGTTTTATGAAAAATGATTGTATGGCCAACTATTCCCCCAGGCACCGTTTTGGTATGATAAATTTCAGATTGAACGGCTGAAAAAGGATCATTTTTCTCTTTGTAAAAGCAAATATATACCCAGGGACAAGAAATCATCCATATATCGGCGAGAGTAATATAACAGGGAACCGAGTAATATGTTATTGGTTTCGTTTTTATAGGATTGCAAGCAGTCCTCAACGTACGACCACAATTGAGCCCAAAATTTCTGTTGCTAAGCGAGGCAGTTGCTAAATGAATTGTGTCCCGTTTTACGACCTTTCTTGCCACGGTTGTTAAGTGAATCACCGCAGCTGTTAAATTAGTAACACAGTTGTTAAGTGAATCTGGCTTTCCTAGAAGGTCGCAAAAGGGGACACGGCAATTGAGGATGCTGCAGTGGCCGTTAGTGTGAAAAACAGACATACGTCACTTTTTTCAGAGCTGTTGTAACTTCAAACACTCCTTAAACAAACTGTCGTAAGATGAGGACCACCTGTAAAATATACACAGGTTGCTCTTGGTTTGGTTTTCATAGTTCGGTTCTAGGTAGCGGCAGATTATCTCTCTCTCTCTGGGCACAAAGAGAACGTATCTGCTGCGAACTCCATGTAGGCATCAGGAAGGGCATCCGGCTGGTAAATGCTCAGCTCCATTCAGAGGGATTATGGGTTCGTTGAAAGAAAAAACAACAACGGTCTTTATAAAATAAATAATAATAATAATAATAATAATAATAATAATAATAATAATAAAGTTGGAAGGGACCTTGAAGGTCATCTAGTCAACCCCCTGCTCAGGCAGGAAACCCTATACCATTTCGGACAAATGGCTGTCCAGTCTCTTCTTAAAAACTTCCAGTGTTGGAGCATTCACCGCTTCTGGAGGCAGGTTGTTCCACTGGTTAATTGTTCTCACTGTCAGGAACTTTCTCCTTAGTTCTAGATTGCTTCTCTCCTTGATTAGTTTCCACCCGTTGCTTCTTGTCCTGCCTCCAGGCACTTTGGAAAATAGCTTGACTCCCTCTTCTTTATGGCAGCCCCTGAGATATTGGAACACTGCTATCATGTCCCCCCTCGTCCTTCTCTTCATTAAACTAGACATACCCAATTCCAGCAGCCTTTCCTTATATGTTTTAGCCTCCAGTCCCCTAATCATCTTTGTTGCTCTTCTCTGTACTCTTTCTAGAGTCTCAGCATCTTTTTTACATTGTGGTGACCAAAACTGGATGCAGTATTCCAAGTGTGGCCTTACCAAGGCATTGTAAAGTGGTATTAACACTTCACGTGATCTTGATTCTATCCCTCTGTTAATGCAGCCTAGCACTGTGT